TATGGCTGGTATGCAAGGAGCCATTTTATGGCTCAGAGAATTTTTCATGCTGACTCGGCGAGACCGGTTTTTAGGAAGGCTCGCATCCTGCGCAGAGAAACCTTTTCTGCCTTTTTCTGTTTCACAGGCAGTTTTCCTTCTTCATTAAGGGTGCTGCTGATGGGGGGGGGAGGCAGCGACCCCTCCCCCGATCTGAGCCTCCCCCTCCTGCGAGGGAGGGCGCCTTGTCCCCCAACGGCCCAGGCAGCTCAGGAGACAGGGGGCACCGCTGGGCTGGGCTGCTCTTCCCCGGGGAAGTCCATGCGGACTCTTCAGCCCCCTAAGCAGGAAGGACCTCTGGCCTCGTGGACTGTCCTGGTGCCACTTTGGCCCTCCACACTCCCTTGGCCTTTCAATAGAGCCTTTCCTGAGGAGGGAGCCTGTGGCTTTGCTTTTTTTTTTTTTTTTTTGAATTTGATTTATATGCCGCCCTTCTCCGGAGACTCAGGGCAGCTTACAATGCGTAAAGCAATAGCCTTCATACTTGTGTATATTTATACAAAGTCAGCTTATTGCCCCCACAAACTGGGCCCTCATTTTACCCACCTTAGAAAGGATGGAAGGCTGAGTCAACCTTGAGCCTGGTGAGATTCGAACTTACAGTAATTGCAGACAGCTGGAGTTAAATTACAAGCTGAGCTATCCAGGCTCTGCACTTTGGGGAATTTTGGCAGAGTTTGGAATAACCTCTCTGGATTCCCAGCCAGCCAGATGCATCACGTTTCCTAGAGATTCTGATTTGGTGATCAAAGGCCAAGGTTACTTTTCCAGAGAGATGAATAAATACAGGTCATATATTCCGATGACAATTCCTGGGAAGTCCAACAACTTTCCCTCCCTCCCCAGGACCCTCCTAGATCTTGGTCCCTGAACCATCCGCTTAAGTTTCATCCACAGGGATATTGGTGTGGGTGATGTGATTCATAACCTCGGTTTCGCCACAAATGGTAGCTGAATGGAAATACGTATGATGGTCTGCCTTTTTACAAGAGAGTTTGGGTGCATAGTAGAGAGCAGGCTTTGACCAGGCTGCTTTCATGGCCATTTCTTGGTGTGCATGAGTGTACAAGAGGGTCGTGATGGGTGGATGCTTTTAAAAAAATTCAGAAACAGACACATTCAGTACATTTCACAGTAAATTCTCCTACAGACCAAAAAAAAAAAAAAAAGACTTTACAAGGAGCCCTGGAATCCTATTTTGATGACTCAGCATTTGTCTATAATGATAGAATGAGTGACTGTGCTGGTATTAGTAGAGACCGACTCTGAAACAAGGGAGCTTGTATGACCCCATCAGGACGCATCTATTCTCTAGGGACACATTGGTTCATTTACGTGCAATTATGTGCAGCGTTAAGGGCTGTGATGGAAATGGTGTGACCTCAGCAAAAACAGATGTACTTCCTTCTTGCTATAGTTGCTTCAGTCTGACTGGTAAAAGAAGAGGAAAGCTAGAGAGAATAGGACATCGGCCATGGTCTTTACAAGGTGAAGAGAGGGGAAGGGGATGCCTATATTCATTGATCCTAAAGATGTTGAAGAATAGTAAAATTATTTACTTTGTTGACATGGATACATGCATGAGAGCCGGGACAGGGAAGGGGAAGGTTTTGGAGTAGCAGTGGGAGAAGCAGGTTGCAATCCACTCTTAGGACAGATGCCGGCTGGGTGACTTTCATGAGTTCCTCCCTGCTCACCCTAGAAATAATAAAAAAAACAAACCTATTAACCCATATCAGATCACCATGATAGATTCTGACCCATCCCCTTCAGGGAGGAGGCCATCTTTCTGCATTGGATTAATCTGGCGTAATTATTATGATTGGTGATAATGGTGATGGTGACTGCAAAATAAAAAATGGAAAGCTGAAACACGGGATTATCGACTTTCAGGTTTTGGGATCCTTTGTAATCCAGCTCCTCTCTCGGGGCATTCACTCTTCTAAACCCAAAGTTAAGTAGGTGCAGGTGACCTCTGGCAACCTTTTTCCTTCTCTGATGAGATACTATTACCTCTTAAAAGCTTTTTTCAGTTTGCTTTTTTTGGGGTATACTCTGGAGATAATCTGGCTGGTCTGATGTAAGCGATTAAAAGAAAAGAAAACAACATTGGTGCATGCTAGCACGATGTTCACCTGGCATTTATTTATTAATTCATTCATTCATTCTTGGAAAAAGTTTAAGAAAATACAAAGTATTATTCATCCTGAATGCTTCCACTGCAAATATCTTTAGCAAGAAGTGGGCCACTGTCAAATATTTTTGTGTAAGAGTTTCACTATGAATACTATAAATAGATGGAACTATAAATATTTTCTTATCAATGATTTATTTATCTAGCCAAGAGAAGTGTTAGTCACTTAGGAGCAATAAGTAAACATATACAGCCGTTTAGGGAATGGAAATGCTGCTTTAATGTCAGCCTGTCTTGCTAGTCAGTGAAATTCCACAGTCCTTGATGATTCATTGAGACACTTTTAATTATGCATCTGATATGGTGCAATTTAAAATCATATTATGTCATACCCAGAGTATGAAATTTCTAGAGAAGTCCTTTCCCTCCAAATTCCTCAAAAAGAAACTCTATGTTACTGCCGTGGTACACAGTATACTTGTCTGCTCTTTAGGGAAGGGGCCTTTTTTTGCTGCTTAATTTGTGGGTTGTTTGCTGAAATTTAAAGATGAGAAGTCAGATGGGGCTGGTGTGTGTTTTCCCTCCAGACCAGACAGGCTCCATTCTTTCCCCAAAATTCCTTGCTGGGAACCATCCCTGCTTCATTCCGGGGCCCCTCAAAAGAGACGTTCTCGTGCCTCTGGGCCAGAAGGGAATCCAGAATCTGAGCATCTTCAAGTGGTTTTGCTCAGCAGGAATTTGTCCCCTTTTTGCAGGGACATTTTAGCGCAATGAATCGGGAGTGCCTTTGGAGCTGAGGCCCTCTCTTTGGAGGGAAATAGTACCAAGGCTGTCCTGTCCTCCTCCTCTTTTTCCTCCTTTCCTCTTTGGTGGATCTCAGTCTGCTCAGGCAAGGAGGTCAGTGCAGCAGACCCATCATAATGCAGTCACGGGCTACATTTGCAAAGGAGGGACTGTAAGCTGCAGCCAGAATGCATATCCCTCCCTCTGCTGCCCAGTCCCTCATTGGGCTTTCTGTGAGTAAGGGAGCAGCCGGCAGGGCAACGGGGAGTGCCAAGTGCAGCTCCAAGAAAAGGAGACAGACAGACAACAGAGGAGATTTCCTGGGAGGGTTGTGCAGTGCTCAGCCACATGCTGCAGCATCCAGCAGTCAAAGATAAATCAGGCAGATGTTTGCCGTCTGGGATGGTAACTATTCCTTCTCCTGCCTTGCTGGCTGGCTTGTGCTCTGCCTCTCTTGCGTGCCAGCCACATCTGCTCGGAGGACACCTTGGACTTCTGGCCAGTGATAGTTCTGAAGCAGGAGCTCTGTGGGGGTGTTTGGAGGAAACAGGTGGGGAAGAAGCTGGGGTGACTGTCTTTCCACACCCCCAGGAAATTCTCGTTTCAGAGCATCAGGATCAAATTAGCACAGCTTTGCTTCAGAGAACTAATTAAAATGTAGAATGTCCTAAAACCTCTTGTGTGACAAATGTAAGATTAGAAACAATTAAAAGCCACTCAAGAGGTTTGTGGTGTTTAGATTTCTGACATCGTTATAATTATCCCTAGAAGTAATGAAAACAATGGTTACTCTCAAAGAAAGAGAGACTCAAGTTATCAGTCACCAATTAATGATTGTTTCTCACGCTGAAGATTGTTGGAATTTCAAGGCTGAATTTGTAGAGCTTATTTTCCATAGCAAACAATTCAATTCAATTCAAGCCTTTATTGTCAATGCACAATGTGTACAATGAGACTGGATGAGCCTCCCTTAGTGCAGCCCCACCCCAACACAAATACATCTCAATAACTCATAAGTGAAAGAAAGAAAAAAAAAACCTAACCCAATATGTAAATCTGGAGTTTCTGGGCTCTGTAAATAAAGGCCTACATTAAACACTTAATTTGGCAAAGGATGGTTTCATTTGAATGGTTGAGAATAGAGGAGACCCGCAATGACTATGGTCCTTTCCCTGTTTCACTGCTGGCATATGGAACCCACTCCGATGCCCTGTTCTGCAAGGACATGGCCAGAAAATGAAGTTACAGATCCCCACTGAATGGCCAGTTTGTGAACAGAAGGACGAGGGGTGACATGACAGCAGTGTTCCAGTATTTGAAGAGCTGCCACAAAGAGGAGGGGGGTCAACCTATTTTCCAGAACCCCAGAAGGAAAAACTAGAAGCAATGGATGGAAACTAATCAAGGAGAGAAGCAATCTAGAATTAAGGAGAAACTTCCTAACACTGAGGACAATTAACCAGTGGAACCGCTTGCCTTCAGAAATTGTAGGCTGTAGGTGCTTCATCACTGGAGGCTTTTAAGAAGAGACTGGACAACTACTTGTCTGAAATGGTATAGGATCTCCTACTTCTTGTGCAGGGGGTTGGACTAGAAGACCTCCAAGGTCCCTTCCAATTCTGTTATTCTGTTAAGGAGTGGCCACGTAAAGCTCAGCTATCTGCTGCTTCCTCCTAGCTTTGCAAAAGGCACTTTGTGTTTTTCTTTAGCTCTTTCAAATGTAAACAGCACTAGATGAGCCAGGAGCAAATGTAATATAGGTCATTTCTCGCTAACAACTCCATCCAAGCACCATTGTGCCAAAATAACAGCAGTGCAGACAGGCTTCGTTTGATGGCTGTGATGCTGTGAAGGCACTCCAAGTCACAGGCGGGAGGGAGGGGGCAGGGGGGGAATGGCCACAGGAACATGTGACCTAGAAACAGCCCAACTTTGGAGAGTTCTTGTGGGGAAGATCTGTCGCTTCTAGCAGCTCGTGGAGCACATTAACTTTATTAGTCCCGTGTAAGGAATTGGGCTTGAACTGTTGCCTGTTTGTTTTCAGCTCCCAACCTCAAAGGACGACCACGGAAGAAAAAGTCCTGCAACTCACAGAGAAGAGATTCGTTCAGTGGCAATAAAGATTCTCAGAATAATTGTGAAGGCAAAACTGTGGCCAAGGTAAGGAGCTTTGGCACCTTCCCCAAATTTCCTTTCCAGATGAATTTTGCTCTTCTTTTTCAGGGCAGTGTTTCACGGGGCAGGGGGAGGGGGGATAGGAGTATGGAAAGGGAGTGGGGCTGCTCCCCAAAGGGCACCCCTGTAGAGTCAACCCTATAATGCAGGTTCCGGGGAGCAGGTCCCTTCTTCTTTTGGAGGGGCTGCTGCAGCCAATGGCAGCCAGTATCTTTACCTGAACTCAGAGCTAAGCAGGTCCAACTGATGAGTAGACGGGGCAAGGTCTCCAGGAGATCCCATCATGGAAGTTACTGGGAGGGGGAGAAATGGACCAGAGGAAGATGGTGGGCAGACTCATCCCCACCATTGCAAGGCAACTACATGGAACTGCCCAGGATTTCAGCTTACTTTGAAGGATAGTTAGAATGGGGGTGGGGGGAGTAATTGTGAACAAAGGATGAGTCTGGTTCACTCCTTGGGCTAGATGCAAGAGCAGTCGTGGAGACTAAAAATGAGACTGTGAGCTCATCTCAAAGGAATACGTGGCTGGAGAGGCAGCAGCCTCCTACTTCAGTGAAACCCGTGGAAGGTCCCCCCTGTTCCCGCTGCAGGCTGCAGGCTGCAGCATCCTCAGCTCACGGGTTTGGGTGTTTTCCACGCAAACTGCTTCGTTTATGCACAACCATTAGTAGCCAGAGATTTCGGTTGGTAGGGTAAACTTAATTCACTGGACCTTGGCCAAATTCAGAAGTTCATAGCTGGAGCTTCAAGAAATGGCAACACCGCTGAAGATTCTTCCTAAATTCTTCCTAAATTCTTCAATATGCTGGATTATCTAAATCTTTAGGAATCTTTAATGCTATAAATTAGTTTATACTAATGTGGAGCAAAGGCCTCCCGAAGATGAGAGGCTTGTGCTTTTTCATCTCCCGCGCATTGAAAAATGGGAAATGCTGAGTTCTTCACAATAGGAAGTAGGAAGCTTGGTCAAACTGCTTCTTGCAGTTCCAACACCCCCACCCCACCCCCCCATCCTTTTGTGAGCCCAATGATGGGCCAAGCTCTGTACTGACAGGTGGGGGCCTTTGAGAGAATTCCCATTTGATTTTTTTTTAAAGCTGAATCGAGGCTCTAAAAAGTCTGATGACAGTACAGGTAGTCCTCAATTTACAACAGTTCACTGAGTGATCATTCGAAGTGACTTTTGACCATTTTTCAGACTTGTGACCATTGCAGCATCCCCATTCTCCATGGTTATATGATTTATATTTGGATGCTTGACAACTGACTCACATTTATGACGGTTGCAGTGTCCCAGGGTCACACGATCCCCTTTTGCGACCTTCTGACAAGCAAAGTCAGTGGGGAAACCAGATTCACTTAACAACCAGGTTGCTAATTTAACAACTGCAGTGATTGGCAAGAAAAGTTGTAAAATGGGGAAAAACCGACTTAACACATTTCTCACTTAGCAATATACATTTTGGGTTCAATTGTGGTCGTAAGTTGAGGACAACCTGTATTACATTTTCTGGGTCATTTAAATCAGTGGCCCCCAACCTTTTTATCGCCGCGGACCAATCAGCCTTTGATAATTTTACCGTGGCCCGCTGAGCGCGCGCAGGGGTGGGGTCTTTGGGCCACACGTGCGTACCTGCGCGGGGCTCTCTTCCCTGGAGCCTTTGCGCACGGCCCAGGAGCTTTTGCGCACGGCCCAGGAGCTTTTGCGCACGGCCCAGGAGCCTTTGCGCTGCAGCGTTCATGTCCCCCGGCCGCTGCGCGGCCCGGTGCCAGGTACTCCACGGCCCGGCACCGGTCCGCGGACCGGGGGTTGGGGACCACTGATTTAAATTATTATTTTTGTCTGCTTCATATTTCATGTATGCTAACAATAATATTCACTCTAACATTAAGACATACTAATTTTGAATTCACAGTTTAGTTGTGTGGCCTGTTACGTATGGTACATAAGAGCCATTAGTCTGTAAATAATATTGACAGGTATCCTGACAGTTCAGAGATACTAGTGGAAAATGTGAGGGTTGAGGTCTGAACTCCATGAAAAGTGTGGGGCCTCCTCCAGTTGGTCAGAAGGTGCTCTTCCTTTGTGGCCCACTTTGCGGAGATCATGGTCTGCCTTCCCCAGTTCACTAATCACGCATTGGCTGTAAACAATGAATCGCCCTATAGGGTTATATGTCCTCTGCATATTAATAGCATGTCAGCAGATGATTGGAAACAATTGCAGAACTGTAATTGTTTAATGTGGTATTTTGTCTGCTTTTGCACATCCTTTCTCCTCTTCTGAGCTTGCCTGCAAAGGCTCTGTGCAAGACTGGCAATAAATACTTGTTGGGAAATGCAATCATCAGTTGAAGACTTGTTCTCTCACTCCATCTCAGGTGGCTTCAGACATTTTCTCAGAAACCAATTAATAACTTTTGCTCAGAAGTTTATTTTGGAGGGCTTAGGGCAGGAGTGTCAAACTCAATTTCATTGAGGGCCACATCAGGGTTTTATTTGACCTCGGGGAGCCAGGGTGGGTGTGGCTAGAGTGGGTGTGGCCAGCTTGATGTCACTCATATCGAGGGTGCCTGTGGGGACCCAAGTATTGCTGAGCATATTGCTGAGCACATTGTAAGCCGCCCTGAGTCTCCGGAGAAGGGTGGCATATAAATCAAATTTAAAAAAAAAAGTGCTGTGCCAGCGAAAAGAGGCTTCTGGGCTCCGTTTTTGGCTGTGATGGCTTCCTGCAACACTCTTCTAGCAAAAATGGAGCTCAGGAGGACCGCCCATAGCCCTCCCGAGCTCCATTTTCAGCTGCGATAGGCTCCTGCAACTCTCTGCCAGCAAAAATAGAGCTCTGTTTTTGCTGGCAGAGGCACCGTGGCCGGTTTTGTGATGTTTCGAGGGCGGCCCCGTGGGCCAGAGATCTAAGTACCCCATGGGCCAGATCTAACTACCCCGCGGGCCGGATCTGTCCCCCGGTCTTGAGTTTGACACCCCTGTCTTAGGGCAAAACATGAAAATATACTCTAGTTACATTCCCAACCCTGCCAATAAGATAGTGGGCCAGTTCAAACAAAATGAATAAATAATTTGCACGATCCATTGGCCTGCCCAACATATGAAGACTTCTGTTTGCAACGGCTTTGAAGGAATCATATATATCCCATTCTAGATCAGTAATAAATTGTCATAAATTGGGCCTACAACTAGAGGAAAGAGCTTATCTGAACTCTTTTCAATCTGTCCAGGGTACAGGACCAAGTTTACCCAGATTCCACTTGTAGGTGCCTTTGGTGAGACCAGGGGGGGGATCCCCCCAGTGTTGCTTGGTCTTATCACTGACCATGAACATCCCCCACTGTGCTATCCCTCTGGACTGTCTCCCCGGGTTGGCACTGGAAGCACTGATTTTGCAGTTGTTCTCCTTCTAAGGGGTCAGTTCTGGTCACTGAGGGAGGAGTTGAGTTCTAGGAGCCTGTATGCTCCTCCATTCTGATTTAATGTCTACATGAAGCCATGGGGAGGTCACCCATCAACATAGATCAGGCATCATCAGTACTGTGATGATGCTCAGCTTTAGACCTCAACCCAATCCTGTCACAAGTGACAGTTGTAGTTAGGAGGGCATTGTATAATGTGCCAGTTATGAACCTTCTTGGATCAGGAGATTTTACTCACAGTCACTCATCCCTTGGTCATCTCTCACTTGGACGACCGCCATGTCTTCTTCATGAGTCTGCGCTTGCCACCACTTGGAAGCCACAGGAGGCCCAGAATGTGGTATCTCTGTTTCCTGTGTAATCCCTCTGCTTTGAGAGCTGCGTTGATTGCTGCTTAGCTTGTGGATGTAATTCATGGTGGCTGCCTTCAAAATTCTGCTTGGCCACCTGCTCCCACTTATATCTGCCTGTTTAGTAAAGATAAGGAGTGGGTTCCCCCCCATATTGCTTCTCCCCGGGAAAGGAACCATCAGGGACCAAGAACTTGGCAGATGCTACCAGAGACCCGTTCTCTGCAACTGGCCACAACCCTCCTAGGATTAGGAATGCCAGGGAAACGTGGCTGCTTCAATAGGCCTCAGTAATGGCTACATGATGAGGTTGTCATCTCTTGCCGTCGCTGTAAATTATGTTAATCATTATTGCTTAATCTGAATTATAGACACCAGCTACATAATCCGCGTACGTTTGGCAACAATTAAAGCAGCATGTAAGTCCAATAAATAAACAACGTAACTGATATTGTTTCTATATTGCTAACATGTTCCCACCCTTCTAAGAATTTGTTTTGCTCACGCAACCAAACAAAACAACTCTTGATGCCTGAGACCCACTCTCAGTTACAGGTGGGGCTGTAATACAAAACACACAAGCAGTATGATGACAATAATATGACTGAAAATTCTAACAAGAGGAAAGGAAGGCTCAATTTATTTCATAAGGAAAATGACTCCCCAGAATTTCATCAAGGAGTTTGAAACCTTCTTCTTTTTCATCTGTCAAAAAAAAAATCTAATTAAGATGTTAATTAATAGCATGTATTAAAAATTCTGAAAGGATGGTATCCGTTTGTTGTTCCCATGTGTAATTTGGCAGTGCCCCCCTCCCTTTGCATGAAGAGTCGTGTCCCCTCCCCCAATGCCTTGCTAAATTCAAAACAGGCCCCTCTGTAGATCGTTCTACTTTGTCTCCGTCTTTGATTAAGAGCATCAATTCATGTTGGCTCTTAATTTTCTTTCTCAGCACAGGGATGATATGATTTTACAGTCAAGAGACGCAGTTGATGTCCACAGATAGTTTCACACTCAGTGAAATTGAGAACCAAAGTTTCCCCTGAAGAAATATAAGCCCCAAGAGACTCCAAGAGTTTTAAAGACCGTTTGCAGTACAGGCGCATCAATTTTTCCCTTCAGCACGAATGCTGGAAATTTCCTCTTAAAAGACCCATAAACAAATCCATTTCCCAATGGCAGCTTTTAAACGATACTTTGAGCCCACAATAAAATGGATGATCTCTCACCAAATTTTAACAGAACTAATTCATGCCTCACCACAAGACATTTATACCAGATATTTTATTTATGGAAACACCACTTTGGTCATGAACATACGAAGAAAATGTTCCTGCTAAGTTATGCAGTCTTCAAAGGTCTCTTTTATATAGGAGTGTGTGTGTTTTTTTCTTAAATTAAAAAAGGAATCCAAATCACGTATCTCCTCCCTATCTTTTCTGACAAGGGCCTTTTAATACCAATAATCACCTAAAATTGTCATTTATTTAAGATTGTACTACATCAGGGGTCTCCAACCTTGGCAACTTTAAGCCTTCAACTCCCAGAATTCCCAGGCCAGCTTAAAGTTGTCAAGGTTGGAGACCCCTGAACTACATAATAAAGGCTTGACATGCACTACTTTGATTTAATGGAAGTTTCTCATATAAAAGAACTCATGGTATTCTTTCTTTCTTTCTTTCTTTCTTTCTTTCTTTCTTTCTTTCTTTCTTTTCTTTCTTTCTTCTTTCTTTCTTTCTTTCTTTCTTTCTTTCTTTCTTAATTTCTGTTTTATTTTCTGAGCACCCAAATCAGTTGATATGCTTATCATTGGATAAGACATAGTCTTGCAAATATTGCTGGGAAATTCACAACTATAGTTGAGAAGCTTGTCTGACACCAAACTAGTTTTTTAAAAATTCTCATATTTCCATAAATACTTTGCAAACATAAATAAACTCAGGGTTCTTGTACCTCAGTCACACAAGGAAAAAAATATTTACTTTCCAGCATTGTTGTCCTTAGAAAGTGGAAGACTCAAGGCTGGTAATAGCCGTGTGACCCATTGAGAATCCACGTCAGTGATGGGTTTCAGCAGATTCTGACCAGTTCTGGAGAACCGGTAGCGGAAATTTTGAGTAGTTTGGAGAACCAGTAGTAAAAATTCTGACTGGCCCCACCCCCATCTAGTCTCTGCCTCCCAAGTCCCAGCTGATTGGGAGGAAATGGGGATTTTGCAGTAACCTTCCCCTGGAGTGGGGAGGGAATGGAGATTTTACAGTATCCTTCCCCTGCCACGCCCACCAAGCCATGCCCACAGAATCAGTAGTAAAAATTTTTGAAACCTACCACTGATCCACGTGGTAGGCCTGTTCTCAACTTGGTCACCATGAAGGATCTGGCCTAATACCAAATGCCCCCATTTATTAGTAGCGAACAGGAGACATTACCTTTTAGATCCCATGTCCTCAGGATGCAGGGGAAGATGTCATTCTTGAATGAATTTTGAATTTGAATTTGAATTTTTTGTTTCTCAAGGCTGGTGGGCTTATTGCCAACATCATCTTAATTTTTATGCTCCAGGAATATGAGTGGTCTTCTTGGATGTCCATTATTTAAGGGTCTATTGCTCTCTTCCACCATCATTCAAAGAAGTGTCCCAGGAGAGTGATGGACCTCAAAGCTGTCCATTAACAAACCTGAGACTGCTTAAGTGGTGCCTTTGTGTGTTCCCATGGAGTTCTTGCCAGGGACTCCTACGGTGAGCCCAGTGGTGGGATTCAAATATTTTAACAACCAGTTCTCTGCCCTAATGACCGGCTGGGTGGGCGTGGCCATGGTGGATGTGACAGGCAGCACTCCGCCTCCTGCACCCTCCAGGGAGCAAAAACGTGTCACGGGAATGCGCTGCACTCCCGTTCCCTGTTTTGGGCTTAGGAGGTGTCTCTGCAACCTCCTGGGAGTGAAAACAGGCTGCAGGGGGGGCACGCTGCCCCCCTCCGTGCCCCGTTTTGGGCCTAGGAGGCCTCCCTGCACTTACCTGAGAGCCAAAATGGGGCATGGTGGGACTCCTGGAAGGAGAGGGGAGGGGAGGGGCCAGCCAGCAATTTAACTACCGGTTTGCCCGAACCAGCCCGAACCAGCTAAATCCCACCACTGGGTGAGCCATTAATAAAACTCCCACAGAGGCACATTCTTCTATTCTAGCTTTGGGGAAAGGAGCAGGTCATTGTGGCCACTTTAAAGCAGGGCAGGGTCTTTCAACCTCCAGGGCCTCGTGTTCCAGGGGCCAGGCAACCCAACAGAAAAGGTCCTAGCAGGTGGTTTTAAGATCAAAGGTCTCAAACTGGATGGAGGCAGCACCAGGGGACCACGGTACTTCCTAGAAGCAACAGTGCCTCTGCTTTCCCTGTAGCCACTTCTGGCTGGGCAGGTCCAGGACATTTTTCACCTGACAAGCGCTAAAGGTCTCAGAAGGCCAGGACCAACAGAAAGCATTTCCTGCAGAATCTCCTCTCCAGGTGTCCTGCCTTCTCTTGCCCATTGAATTCTTCACTGGGTGAAGAGCATCCTTTCTGCCTGCCCAGATTGGGATTGGGAATCGCTCCCTCAGCTGAAAGGAACCAGGAGGACTACTGTCCCCATTTATTTGTATTCCTTTCCTTCGTTCATGTCCATGTTCATATTTATACCTGCTGTCTTGTACATGTTCGACCAACTAATAAATAAATAAATAACAAGCGAAGAGAGGCGAGCATGTGTGCATTGCTGGGAAGAGATCAATCCCCCAAATGAAGGCAGATCCTCAGCACAAAAGTTCACCCATTAATCCATGTCTTGGTCATATTAAAATGAGGTAAAAGAGTGGATTGTCTCCCCCACAGCACAGCCGCCTGGCCACCAAGCAGATTTGGTGTGGCCTGCCTTTGCCCATCATAGTTTGTGTATATGGGACCAAGTGGAAGGAGGGATAGAGCAAAGTCCAAGGAAAGTTTCAATGTGAAGACACAACAACGGTCAAAGGGGAATGTAAATTGAATCAAACAGTTTTCAGGATTTAATCTGCCATCTCTTCTTTTCTTCCAGGTAAAATGTGAGTCTAGATCACCTTTGTCCAAAACCAAAAACAATAACAGCAACTGTAAAAAGGGCTCAAATGAGGATAAATCCAAGATTTCTGTCGGTGAGGAATGCAGAGCAGATGAACAGGCCTTCCTTGTGGCACTTTATAAATATATGAAAGAAAGAAAAACACCCATTGAACGAATACCCTACCTTGGTTTTAAGCAGAGTAAGTAGAATTTTTATTGCATTTTTGTGTGTGACATTTAATGTGCTTGACTTGGTAAGAAGGGACAATTTTAAAGGTGATGGGACCCTAATTTTAATTATTTTAATTTTGCATTCTATTTTATTATCCAAGTCATGTTGACATCCCGAGAGGTATTCAGGCATACCAAAGGTCGGTAGGGTTTTTGGTTTTTCCCAATTGCTTTGAGCAACCTGTCCACATTTGGGGAATGCCATACTGAAAGCAAATCCTTTGGTAGGCAGTCTATGTGTCTTAGAGGTCTAGAGTACATTAAACGGGCACCCTGGGACTCGTAAGAATCCAGTTATTGGCCCTGGGTTGATTCCTACATTGATTTCTTTTGCATCCCCTATTCCATAAATCCTAGGAATTTAGTCTGCAATCCTGTCACACTCTCTTGAGTGTCCCTTTTTCCTAGCAAGACTTATTAAATTAGTAAATTAGCTGGATGGGATTGCATCATCCATATGCTTTTGACATGCATAGCCAAGCCAAAAATAGCTGTAAGATGCTTCTGTTATTTTCCTCTTTAAAAAGCAGTGCAGGAGAAAATATTATTTTAAATCAGTTGGTATCCATAGTAGTTGCTTGAGTTAAAATAACATTTACTTGTATCCTACCCAGTTTTTACTTTGAGAAGGGGAGTGGGGGGTGTACAAGTCTAAGTCAAGTCTACTTTCAATAAGACCAGGAAACTTGTAAAGTAAATTCCAGATATGAAAATCACATTTAATGTATCTGACTAACAGTACACCATGCAAAAAGCTGTTTCAGTGCAGGACTTACCACTATTTTAAAAACAATCATTAAATTCTGTGTTAGTATCCCATACAATGGATGGAATGATGTCATAAAGGATGTGTTTTGAATCATCGATCAGTTTTACAAATTATTTTAAATTATTTTCTTATTTGGAAATACTGGGTATCTGAATTTCTTTTCCCTGTTATGTTGATGCAGAATGTCAGACTGGTATGCTTTACATAACAATTTACATACCTAATAGCAATTGACACTGATTGCAACAGGCCTCCAGCAGCCATTAGAAGCTTACATAACTCTAAAATGATTACAATGTTTGCTTGAAAAACTAGCTGCTTGAAATAGAAGCAGAATTAATGTACTATGAACAGCTTTGTTGCATTATGCATTGGATTCCTATTAAATTAAGGCCTGAGTAAAGCTTCTGATAGCTCAGAAAAAATGCAAGATTTAGCAATGCTTTTTATTCAGAAAGTTTTGAGAGGGATGTGTGTGTGTGTGTGTCAGAGAGAGAGAGAAGAGAAAATTGTAATGCTTTCTCCCCCAGTTATAACAGAATAATATAGTTGGAAGGCACCTTGGAGGTCTTCTAGGCCAACCCGCTGCTGAAGCAGGGGACCCTACACCATTCCAGACAAGTTAGTGGCTGTCCAGTCTTTTCTTAAAAGCCTCCAGTGATGGAGCTTCCACAATTTCTGGTGGCAACTTCTGTTCCACTGGTTGATTGTCCTCAGTGTTCAATTTCAATTTCAATTCAATTTAATTCAATTTATATGCCGCCCATCTCCGAAGACTCAGGGCGGCATATGATGTTAGGAAGTTTCTCCTTAATTCCAGGTTGCTTCTCTCTTTGGTTGGTTTCCAACCATTGTTTCTTGTCCTGCCTTCTGGTGCTTTGGAAAATAGGTTGACCCCCTCCTCTTTGTGGCAGTCCCTGAGATACTGGGACACTGCTATCATATCAGATATATCCTTAATAAATTTTAGGAAACAGGAATGTAGTTTAGAAAGCTCTGCTTTGCTTAGAAATGGACTATTGGTGCTCAGATGCCCAGCGCCCTGGATGTGTGGCGTCGCTTTTCAACAAGACTGAAACCAAGTTTCCAAGTCCCCAACCAGTTCTACAAAATGGCATCCCTGTTCTGACTGAACCTGATGGGAAGTGTAGTCCAGGAGACTGGCTGGGGGCATTTCAGGGAGGGTTCCAGAGTAGGGAGAAACTGCCGAAGGGGAGCCACATTATCCTGTGATGACTAGGACGGTTCTTGACTGCCGTTTTCCAATCTGGACATGGGAAAACAACCTGCTGAGTCAGGAGAACCTATTGAGAGAGTGAAACTACTCTGCTGGTAGATAACTGAAGCGTTATATGCTACCAGCCTCAGTAACATGTTCTGCTGACCAGAGAACCCCCATTTTTAGGTAATATTCATTTGCAGCCAGGAGAAAAAGCTCTTTCGTGGAATAGTATATAATTCACTTGACAGAGAGAGACAGGCAGCCTTTGTTTATCCCATTGTTTAAATGGGGTGACCAGGGGTTTTGCAAACAAGAATCTTTTTTATATATTTGTAACTTAAATAAAAGTATATCAAACATGCATGATGCCTTTAAAATAGGGCCTACAGGAAATTATATAGTAATCACATCAAAGGATCCTTCTTTCTGCCTCTGATTCAGATCTCTGATTACTTGCAAATGGAAAGTGAATCTAGATAACAGAATAACAAAGTTGGAAGGGACCTTGGAGGTCTTCTAGTCCAACCCCCTGCTCAAGCAGGAAACTCCATACCATTTCAAACAGATGGTTGTCCAATCTGTTGTTTAAAATCTCCAGTGTTGGAATCCCCACAACTTCTGGAGGCAAGTCATTCCACTGATTAATTAATTAATTAATAATAATAATAATAATAATAATAATAATAATAATAATAATAATAATTTTATTTCTATACCGCCCTTCTCCCGAAGGACTCAGGGCGGTGTACAGCCTAATTAAAAACAGAATAAACATCAATTTAAAATAATTTAAAAATATTAAATAAATTTGGCTTAATTTAAAACCCCAAAAATTTAAAACATCCAATTTAAAATTATATTGCTAACCCAGCCTGGTGGAACAATAGGGTCTTGAGTGCGCAGCGAAATACCTGGAGGTCAGAAATCTTACGAATTTCCGGGGGCAGTTCATTCCACAGGGCTGGGGCTCCCACAGAGAAGGCCCTCCCCCTGGGTGTCGCCAGCCGACATGACTTGGCTGATGGCACCCTGAGGAGACCCTCTCTGTGGGAGCGAACTGGCCTGTGGGAGGCTATTGGTGGCAGAAGACGGTCTCGAAGGTACCCGGGTCCTATGCCATGGAGCGCTATTAATTAGATTAATAGATCCTGCAGAAAGACTGAATGTGCATATTTTCTTAGACATTTAAAAGATGATCTGTTTTGGCATTTCCACAATGACCCAAATTGTAGATCATGGTGAATTCTAAAACAATAATAACAATTGGCATTTAGATGCTGAAGGGCACTTATTCAGTGTAACCCCAAACTCACGCTCTCTAATGATGCTCAGTCTGATTGCTTTAATTTAGTACCTGCAGTAGAAATCAGTTGGTGCTCAGCCCTGTTCAGCTAAAGGCAGGAGAAAAGAGAAGAGAGAAAGCGATGGAGATGTAAGGGTGCCCTTTCTGACATTGAGACGACTGTGAAGTCTCCATCCTTGTCACCTTGGTTGGAAGTTCTTTTTATAGAACCTCTGCAGTTTCTAGGTCTTCACGTGGACTGCTTCAGCTTTTAGAAATTATTTTCATGGCTTCAATATCTAAAAGGTGGACGTTGAAAAGTGTTCATTTTACTCAAGAAATGTTCCAAATTTGAAGGAAAACAACATATTTGAAGAAAGTGCAGTCAACTGTTGTCCCAGCTGTCCCACCCACCTCCATACACACAAAAATTCCACTTGGGCTTTTGAAGTTGACTGTCTCTTGACCAGGGGACTCCAATCTTGGTAATTTTAAGACTTGTGGACTTCAATTCCCAGAATTCCAAAAGTCTTAGAATTGCCAAGATTGGAGACCCCTGCTCTTGACTAAACCCAAGCAAGACATGCCTTTGGCTTTTTTGCAACGTTGGACAATTGAATGGGCTGGTTCAGTCCTTTTGCCTGAGAGAGGCTGACTTTCGTGAAAGCTTGTCAACGGTTTCCTGTAAGTGAAGATCAGTGACCATTCACATGTTCCTTGAAGGAAGAGTTGTTTGTCCCATTGCTATGAGGCTCTTCAGATTCAGCAAGGATTAGAGGGACGGGGAGCGGCCAGGATCACCAAGCTCAAGGGATCGGGGTGAGCACCCTTTCCCAGGGCTGCCTCTAGTATTTCCCCAATCCTCCTGCCAAGTGTTGGACACAAGGAAACAGGCCCAGAAACACATCCACATCAGCCATTCTCCAGATGATTAATGCCTCAATTGTAATTGGAAAGAAAGAAAGCAAAGCCGTTGCACTCTTAGTTGTTCTAAGGGCAGGTCTCTACAGGAAACATTTTGTACCCAGAGCTGAGCTGAACCAAAATGTCTAGAAATTTAAGGCATAAAGAGAGAACATTCCCCCCCTCCCCCAAGCATCTCTAACCTTAGCTTAGAACAAGGGTCTCCAACCTTGGCAATTTTAAGCCTGGAGGACTTCAACTCCCAGAATTCCTCAGCCAGCTTTGCTTTGCTGGCTAAGGAATTCTGGGAGTTGAAGCCCAAAAGTCTTAAAGTTGCCAAGGTTGGAGACCCCTGGCTTAGAGCAACCTTCCACATCCAATCTTGGGGGGGGTTGCACCCCCACTCTGGCATCTACCCTGTTTTCCCAAAAATAAGACATCCCTGATAATAAGCTCAATCAGGCTTTTGAGCGCATGCACTAAAATAAGCCTCCCCAAAAATAAGCCCTCCCCATAAATATTTAAACACAGAGCTGGAAATCAGGTAAGACAGCAAGAGGAGCCCCATCTTGCTCCACACGCCCCAAAATAATAAAACCTCCCCAAAAATAAGGCCAAGCGCTTATTTCAGGGTTCAAAAAAATAAGACAGAGTCTTATTTTTGGGGAAACACAGGTAGTAGCTCTGGTGGGAATTAGAGGGAAGACATCTTGGACAGAGCCCCCTGGAAGAGCCCCCTCTCCAGGGCCATCTGTCCCTTACCTGCCCCAGGTGGCAGGAGGAGCACATGGGCTGCTGGGTGGAGGCAGCTTCTGGATCTGGCCCTTCTCTCTGGCTCTTCTCTCGCCTTGTATCTGTGTTCACAATTACTGCTCTCTTAGTTAGGCCACTTTAAGGAAATGCCCTGTTCTTAATTAATCAATGCCCTCGATTTAGGAGCATATACAACAACACTTCCTTTGTTTACTGGGAGAAGTACTGATTATTTTGTATCTTGGAGGAAGTAATTGTTTTCTAATACCTGTAACTGGATCCAAGTAGAATGTTCCCCTTGCGGTTTTTAACAGAATGGCATATGTGCAAAGGGCAGACTTTACACTTTGAATTATGTAAATGTGTTTCTCAGACTGTTTGTCTGTTTTTGTCTAAACGTGTGGATGTGATTATTGTTTTTCTTGCTTCGTTGTCAAAGAAAGATTGTTTCATTTGCCTTTCTTGGAAAGATGGTTAATGCAATGCTTATCTCAATGCTTATTGTCCCTCTAACAGTTAACCTTTGGACTATGTTTCAAGCTGCTCAAAAACTGGGAGGATATGAAACAGTAAGTGTTGAAGTAACTTCAGAGAAAAAAAATTGTGCACTCTTAATTTTCTCATGTTTTTGCCATGTGTGCATTAAATATACCAAAAAAAAAAAAAAACCTCCACAGTTCAGCAGAAAACACTTTGAATTTATGGGGTTCTCTTTTGGAAACAGTCTGAATTAATTCCAGGCTTGGCAAAACTGTAAACTTGTAGTTAAAAAAAAGAAAGAAAGAAAACCAAAAAACCCAACTCTGAGTGGAAAACATACGTAACTCTTCCTTGTCAAGGAAATTGTTTGGGTCTGTAATTTTTTCCTATGTTAAGAGAGGGATATTCTTGTACAACTAGCCAAGATTGCATAAAAGAACATTTGCCTTGGCATAGTCCCTGACATCTGTTCTTGTCAAATGTGGGAAATGTATTAAATACTTTAAAAAGCAATCAGCCATGTCCATTACAGTGTAGTGCACTGCGGTGTCTCTTCTTGTTTTGAATGGTGACAGCCTTTTGCAGAAAAGGGTCAGGCCATATAAACAGGAAGTTATCTAAAGTTTTAAATGAGTGGGGAGGGAACACAGTGCACTGATCCTTTTTATCAGCTAACAGTATCTGACACAGAGACTTTATTTTTAGCTCGTGGGGAAAATTGATGGTTGTGGATTTTACAGCATGTGTCCCAAACCAACAAATATTGGAGTCACAAACTGTGATTAAGATCTTAAAAGGAGAAGAAAGAACTGCCTGATATGACCAAGAAAGAGAGATGGCATCTGTAACAAGATCCAGTTGACATAAAAGGTTCATCAGTGGAAATGTTTTCATGGCCTCAGGTTAATTGGAGCCTTCTTTAGCCAGCTGGATTCCAAGCACATTCACCAGGCCTACCTGGATGTATGGAAAACCCTAGTTTTTGCCTTTGTTCAGAAAGCACACAGGTTGTCTGCCCTTACGCTGCAATGAAATAACATAAAACTTGAAATGTGTTTAAGCAAAACAACAAATCATCCTGGAACTAGTAAGAAAAAGTGTATTGTTTCACTTTAATAACTATGTTGCTAATGGATGTTGAGATGCTTTTGTTATTACAGGAAATAATCAACGCATACAGGCCGTTTTTTTAGCTCGCCCTTTAATTGACATTTGTTCCTTTTGTTTTAGTCTACTTGCGTGGCTAAATCTGTTCTTATTTATTCAGGAGTAATCCCCATTAAATTTAGTGGGTCATGCTTTGAAGGAAAATTGCAAGTTTAATATGGTTACTGCCATACTTAAAACATGAAATGAAAATATTGTAATTAACATTCTGTTCCAAAGCATGCGGCAAGAAGCTTGGCTTTCACTGGGGATGGTGCCTAAACATGGCCAGTTTAAAAATTGATGTCCCTTTGAATTATCAAATCAAAAAGATTCCCATCATCCTGTCCCCCAAGGGTCCTGGGTCACAGAGACAGGAATGAATTCCCAAACAAGGTGCCAAAATGGAAACTGGAAAGAAATCCAGAAGGATTCTAAACATAGCAGGCATATCGTGTGCTTGAACTGAGAATTTAGCTTTGATTTCTGGCTCTGTTTGGCACAGGGGTCTCCAACCTTGGCAACTTTAAGACTTGTGGACTTCAACTCCCAGAATTCCTCAGCCAGCTTTCCTTTGCTGGCTGAAGAATTCTGGGAGTTGAAGTCCAAAAGTTTTAAAGTTGCCAAGGTTGGAGACCCCTGGTTTAGCACAAATTGTGACAACATTTGAAATCGCATTGAGCCCGTGGGCATTTGGGTGCAGGAAGCAACGTTTTCCCCCTCAACCAGTAAAAGTGGTAAAAAAACATCTATTTTGCAACAGTGATTAAATGTTGCCAGAAATCCCAAATTAAGCCAGTAGAACTCTCCTGCTCTTGGTCTCTTGGTTCTCCTTTCAGTTTTGCAGCTTCTCAATTGTTATAATTTTAAGGAACTCCATTCCTTATAGAGCCTTCAGCCATTTAACTCTTAGGAGGAAATTTGGATAGACTTTTCTATTCCAGAAAGCTTTTCAAACTTGGTTTTAGGGTTGGTCTGATTTTAATAAGCATCTATTTCAATGCTGTAAATAGCACATATTTTATTCGCTGGAAGAAAAAAAAAGAAAAGAAAAAAAGAAAAGAAAAGCTTTCATTTGGAAAATGAAACCGTTTGTTGAACCTGCTTTTCCTGGGCTTGGCTTCAAGCGCACTTTGGGGTCAGTGCTTTATTGTCAGGAAGGAATTGGATGATGTCCTGGGGCTGGTTGGTACCAGCCATCTTTCGGGGGGGGAGGGGAGGATATTCTTACAGAAGTGAATATACCCAGTTGAAAATGCATCCCATTTATGATTAAAAACTTCCCCAAGTGCTAAGAGGTACATACAGGAAGAAAACCTGACCAGTGGAGCTAGAGATACAAAAGGGGAAGTTTAGCAGCTCCCAGAAAAAGCTGCTGAGGACACCACTGCAGGAGTTGATGAAATAGCGGCCAAACCGATTGGCATCTCCTCCTTGAGGTTGGCAGATTGGTGCAGAAGAGGCAGCAAAGCCAAAGGCCTGGAAAAGACCCATTGATATTGGCCAGTTTATGACCATGCAAGGGGACTGCCGGAGAAGTCTCCCCAAGTACAGAGCACAAGATGTTGCCGTTCAGATTTCCTCCGCAGCTGGACATAAAACTGCCAAAAATGGCAGCTCAATAGAAGAAAGGCATTAGTGGCTGAAATCACAGTGCTGTGGCATTACGGAAAAGACAAGGGCACTTCAAAAGGATGATGATTTTTGCTTTGTTGCTTCTACATAGGACTTTGGCTGTGTGTCCATCCCACAGCAAACTGGGTCTTCTCCTTTAAAAACTATGATCGCCAGGAAGAAGAGTGGGAAAGGTTTCTGGAGCAACTGAATGGTTCAAAGTCGGGAAAGGAATGTGCAAGATTTTATACCAATGCTTAATTTAAATGCAGAATAAATCACAAGGAACTGTTCAGTTAAAAAAAGCAGAAATTCAGATGGAAACTGCTGATGAAACCAGGAAGGCTGAAAATGAGAAAGATTTGGGAATCTTGTATTGAAAGTGAAAGGAGAGAATGCAAAATCCCATCTGCTGCTCAACATTAAAAAAAAATCAAAATTCAAAAGATTATGTTAACAGGAAATGCCAATCCAAAGCAAATAGGGAGCAAAGAAGTTGAATAGTAACAGACTTTATTTACCCTCCTAGGATAAAGTTTGCAGAGGAATGGCAGCTAGAGCCATGCAACAAAGAGACATTTGCTACTTGGAAGAGGGATTAGCAGAAATCTACACAGAATGTTAAACTGCTGAGACATCACATGGACAACCACGGTATGTATTGTCAAGCCCACGCCTGCTCAGTTGTGGCATATGGCTATGAAAGCTGGACCATCGGAAAGGCTAAGCAAAAAAAGATGAATGCTTTTGAATTTTGGTACTCGAGAAAATTGTTGACAGAAGCTTGGACAGCCTGAAGAACCAATCCATCATTCAACACCAGATGAAGTCACACGGGGCTGTTCACTAAAATCACTAGGAATGAGGCTAAAACTGAGTTACTTTAGGAACATAATGCAAAGGTGGGAGTCCTTGGAACAGGCTCTGATGCTCGGAGGAATTGAAGAAGAGGCGGACAGAAGACTATTTGGCCAGCTGCCACAGATAATGGCCCAAGCAGAAACTTCCAGTCCTGGTGAAAAGATGCTTGTTAGATCATGAAGCATTAGAAGCAACTGAACAACAAGAAGGCAATAATACTTAAGAGAGAAAAATGGGAAAGACACCGTGGCTTTGAATTATGTGCATTTCAGAAAAAGCATGTAAGACAGTTGTGACAGCCTGTTTTGCAAATAGAAATAACTATGAAGTAGTATCTGCACCCTTAATTAAAGCCAAGTACAGTGTTTATATTGTCACAATGGAATATAACATTACATGGCCCACCAACAGAAGACAAATTTGTGAGGTGTTCCAAAATGCCACGAGTTGATGCAGATGCATATTTAAAATAAGACATTTCTGTGTTGGGAATTAATCGTATATTTATTTTCAATTAATTCAATTTTATACATGAAAAGAACTATCTAATAGGAGAGTTTCATTTGCAAGGGATTGAAGTGAGAATCTCGTGTTCCAGGTGTCTCCGTTTGAAGGTGGATGGAACCAGTGGTGGGATTCAGGCAATTTAACAACCGGTTCTCTGCCCTAATGATTTCTTCCAACAACCAGTGTGCCAAACTGCTCAGAAAGTTAACAACCGGTTCTCCCAAAGTGGTGCAAACTGGCTGAATCCCACCACTGGATGAAACCTTCTCTAAAATAGGGAATACATTTTCTAGCAAGGGTTGTTTTAAGGAAGGACATTCTAAAGGCAAACATGCAAATATCCAGGGTTCGACACGCAGGCTTAGTTATCAAGTGACTGACCTCAGAGACTAAGAAGCCCAGTTTTCTCACATCAACTATGATTTGGGGGTAAACATGCAAGACCTGCTGGCACCCCAGAAATGATTTTCTCTCTCAAATATGTTACATCATGTGAGATGATTGTCTGCGATGCTCTGAGGACTATTGCCCACAAGTCATGGCTTATTGCTGCCTGCAGAACTGAGAGCAAGCCTGTCTTCTTCTCCTGCCATTCCTGGCAGCACCTACAGTTCCATCCCTGGAGGAAACCACTCGCTGCCTGAATGGGGTGAAAGCAAAGCTGCCTCACCCACAGAATGAATGGGAACTCACTTCGCCTGCAACCTCTGTTGTCCATCACTGTCCCCTCTTTTCAAGGAGCCCCTGCCCCAGAAGAAGAAAGAGGCACCCACCCACTACACAATCTTTTGTGTTGGTGGGCAAGGCCACCATCTCTGGAACAGGGGTGGGTTTCACTTACCTTTCCTACCGGTTCGCTCGCACGCACACACACCACTTCTGTACATGCACAGAGCGTATTTGATGACGTCCGGGCAGGTGGGTGGAACCCCCCGCCACTGCTGCTACCGCTTCGTCCAAACCGGGGCGAACCGGTAGCAACCCACTACTGTTCTGGAAGCACAAATCCTTCCCTCCCTTGCCGTTAGAGTTCAGTGGGCACAGTAGACCCAGAGGTCATGTCTTGGTCTAGTCCTGGCAAAACATCAAATAGGCATGTTTAGTGAGTCTTCATCCCCACCAGACAAGGCTAGGAAGAAAAGATACAGGTGAATTTGCCCACCTTTAAGCCAGTTCTACCAAACCTCAAATATTTCAGGTTAGAGTTGAATAAAGAGGCATTTTGACTTAATCTCCATCTGAAAGAGGTAGTGATTATAACTAAAGAGAAGAAAACAAAGATAACGTTGTTTGTCTGAAATTATAATATTACCAAGTAACAAGTGTTTTGCTTCTGGTGCTTGCTTTTTGCAAAGAAGGCATTTTATCTTCATGCAGAACAGGAAATGTATAGGTTCTATACAGTACTAATTAATTCTCCTCCATTCATCTCCTTTTCAGATTAAAATTATAACACACACACACACACACACACACACACACACACACCTACCTACTCTGCCAACTTGACAACTTTGGGCATTGATTTACTTTGGTTCTGATCTGACCAGCAGCACCAGCTCCCTTTAACCATGCCTTGTCTTTGTTCCCCAGAGCTGCAAGACCCACTGCAAAATAGAACTGAATTCCCCCCCCCAATCATTTTCTCTCTATTTTCCACTCTCCCTCTTTTGTCACGCATGAATCCTATCAAGCTTTTTCTCCCCCTCCTGTCCTATTTTAAAGTAGTTTGGACTGTATAAAATAATGAAGACCCCTTCAGTTCTCTTGCCACATCTTCCATCTGTTTCTCTGCTAATCCTATTTCCTGTACAAAGATCGGGCACATAAAAGTCATAGCTTGCAATTTAACATGTTATCAGATGTTTGTTTTCTTTTATTTAGCCAATTCTAGGACATACTTCAGATATTAATCTTAGAGAGTGTTTAGATTTCATTACCGTTTGATCTATATATTTTACTAGCTCAGATGAGTGAAAATAAACAGCTCGTATCAAGTTACACAAATTGTATTTCTGGATGGATTTACTGGAGAATGTGATGGATTGAGGCTTACAGCTGTAATTCCTTGTCACTAACTCAATAAAATAATTCTGCAGTCATTATTTATGCTGAGTTTAGGATTCATGTTTATAATTTACCAGGAGATTTCTCAGAAAGCATTTTAATGGTTAATGCTCTCAGTGACTGAATGCTTTTTTTTTTAACCCAAGAAATTGCATACACAAAATAGTGAGATAGCTTACTAAAGAGACAGAAACAAAATGCAATTCCAGAAAAAATAAAAGGTAGGTGAAAGAAATGTGCAAAACCTTGTATGCTATAGGGATCCATGTTAGCTTATTATGCACTGGCTTTATGGCTTGTGCTTCCTGCTGTCCTATATGTTTCACATGTACATTTGTTGCTGCACGCGCGCACATGCACACACAATATGTGAAAGTGCGAGATTAAATTGTCCATTGCCACTTTTGCAGATCACAGCCCGTCGACAATGGAAACATATTTATGACGAATTAGGTGGAAATCCCGGGAGCACCAGTGCAGCCACTTGCACACGCAGACATTACGAAAGGTAAGAGAGCAGCCATGAAATGCTTGTCTGATAAAGAGGAACAATTCAATTGGGGAGCCTTCAAAGATTTTTGCACAGAATTGGCTGGAGGAGCCTGGAAGGCTCTTTTTTCAAGTCCCTGTCAAGGCTCCAACACCAGTTTAATCCTTTGGTTGGGCTTTGATTTCCACTAGTGTTTGTTTCTTCCATGAGAAAACAAAGAGCTGCCTTCTGATTTCTTTCATTTCTCCAAAGCTTTTATTAGCCTGAAGCTCTAACAATTAAGCAAGATAATCAACAGGGCACCAATGGGAGATATTTTAAAGATTTGATTGGCTCTGGGTTGCCTTTAAAAAAAATTATGCAGATATATGTAAATGAAGCAACAATTAGCTTGTTTGTTACACTGGAGTGTGTGTGTGTGTGCATTGAGATTGATGGGGCTGCTCCATATTCCTTATTCTTTTTTCCTTCTGTTGCTATCAGCCATTTATCTTTCGAAATGCGAAAGACTTGCAGTTTTATAAGCATTGATTTTATACCCTGAGTTAATAATACTTTCCAAAGCCGGGTATCCAACATACATCAGACAACACGATACGGCTGTGCTGCTTTCTTAAAAGAATTTTTTAAAAATACGGCCATTAATAAAACATGCCCGCTTTCCAGCTCTGTAAGCAGAATGTGCTCTCATGCTCCAGATCACTAACCGGTTGCTGGAGGGGCTGAGGCAGCTTGTGCTGAGCTCTCCACATGGGACACCAGCCAGGCAGGAGGGCCTCTCTCCAAGTCGTGATCCATTGGCCACACAGGCACAAAAAAGCTGCTAGTCCTCATCAAGGGCGATAGTCACGTTCTGGTAGAAACCTGGTCTGCTTGGGAAATATAGAGCTAGGAAAGGGGGCAGCCCAGTGCTTAGAAAGGGAGGCCGGGATGTCTCTGGGGGATTTCAGGCCCTTCCTATCTGGGGCCAACCTTGGACTGTCATCTCTAGGGGAAAGTCCATCCTTTCATGAGTTTTTCCTCCAACTGACTTTACGCAATGAGTAAAATGAGCGGATGCCTCCATCCCATACAAGATTATGAACATCAGAACTGATTGGTCAATAATTACAGTATTTTTTGGACTATAAGGCGCTCCAAAGTATAAGATGCATCTAGCTTTTGGGGAGGAAAACAAGGGGGGAAAATCTGCCTCTGACTCCCAGCAATTTGTCTCCTTGCAGCAAACAGCCTGGTCAGCTTCAGCACAGCCTGATTTAGCACAAGCAGCTGATTGACAGTTGGATCAGCCTCCCGGAATACTGCCTATCAGCTGTTCCAGGCTATGGGGATCGCCATTGCCCATCGCCACCCATTGCTGCTGCTATCTATCACCGTCTCCCCACACTCCCTTTTCAGCCTCCGTGTGTCCCATTTTTGGCTCGTTCCAGGTGTTGGGGATAGGCAGCAGCGGCCACGGCAGCAATCCCTGCCGCCTGGAATGGGCCAAAAACGGGATGTGCAGAGGCCGAAAATGGGGTGCACAGAGGCAGCGATAGGTGGCAGCAGCAATGGGCAGCAGCAACAGGCAGTGGCAATGCCTGCAGCCTAGAACAGCTGATTGTTGGTATTGTGATAGGCCGATCCAACCTCCAGTCAGCTGTTTGTGATAAATCAGGCTGTGCTGAAGCTGACCAGGCTGTTTGCTGCAAGGAAGCAAATTGCTGGGAGACAGAGGCCAAAGGGTGGGGGCTGGCTGGTGGGCAGTGCTTCGGCAACATTCGCTGCATTTCCACCCACTTTTTTGGGGAGAGTGCGTCTTACACACTGAAAAATATGGTATTTGAACCCTCACCCACCCAGCTAAGAAGGGCTGGCTCCAGTGAGGAGCTGGATAAAGACCCCCCAGGATGGCCATGTGTAGCCCATGGAGGAGAGTCAGGAAAGCTGTTTGGGAAGGAGGGGACAAAGCACCCCGTCCTCTTGTAGGGAAACCCTTCCCAGATGTTACCACATCTTTGTGAGAAGCCAGGCATGACTTGGCATCTTCTTAATTCTCTGAATAGGGAGGGAGAAGCCCCTGACCTGCAAGTGGGTTCAATCCCGAGGCTGAAGAACATCGGCTTCCTGTCCAAAATTACGAGAAAGGAGGAGAAATCGTGGCCTATCCAGCCTGGGCTCACCCACCCCCCAACTGCCTGTTCTCTCCAGGCCTGCCTCCTCTTGGTTCCCCTTCTGCCATCTTTAACCCTCAAATTATGAACACACACAAACACAGAGCCTGTATTGTGGAGGCAGCCTCTGCTCTGCCCCCAGAGAGGCAGAAGAAGGTGGTTTTTGGAACACCTTTGTTTGCCTATTCCTGTTTGCATTGTTGTGGCTACCTGACAGTAAACACTTTCATTTTTAAAACCAGGCAGTGCAGCGGCTGTAAGTTTCCTAAGTGTTGTTCTGGACATGCATTAGGACTTTTTGCGGGCCTTCTTAAAGAGTGTAAGTGCAGGTTGCTCGGTGGAAATTTCTGCGGAATCCTTTACTGTCCGCAAATGCAGAATCATCACCGCAGCTTCAGCTGTTATTGATTGTCTTCAGTTAGTGCAAACCCTTCACCAAAAAGTCTTTGCCGGCCCAGTTTGGCTTCCACCCGCTCCGTCTCTGAAAGGGTTTCAGCATCAGTAGCAGCTGTTGCCTGTTGTGCATTTGTACTCTACGTAGAAGCTTAGGTTACAGGTGATCATCATCATCTTCTTCTTTTAATGACCCCATAATCCCTTGAGGGGTGGAGTCTGGGGAACTGAATGGAGCTGAGTGTTTACTGGCCGGTTGCCCTTCCTGTCGCCAATGCGGAGCTTAGTTGATGACCTCGTATTATTAGGTAGAAAATGCATTCTTCCAGAGAGGAGCCGTTGCTATGGTCCAGATTCCACATTCACAAAGCGCACAAGGCATTATGTTGATAGTGCAGCTTTAATTCTCTCCACTGGGGTCACCTAAGACCAATCAGAGGGTCGCCTGCTTTGCAGGATGAAGCTGCTCTGGTGGGTTCCCTCTCCCCAGCGCATCCTGATGTGCCATCCTGCACAGCTTCCGCCCATCTTGGTTTATCCCTGGTTTAGCAAGAAATAAAGACAGCTGGTAATGCCTGAGTTATTCTTTGCCTCATAATATAAATGATATTAAATCAGATGCGGTTCCTTCCAGGGCCTTTTCTTTGACTTCTGTGCAAAATACATGACAACTGACTTTCATTTCCCTGAATAAACAGTGAGTTTTTCCCCCAGAGAATTAAAGATAGCATAACAGCTATCCGATTATAAAGAAAATATTGTCATTTATCTGGGAGCTCAACATTTCTAAACAAACTGTGAATTAAGGAAAAGAAAAGCTATATTTTAAAGCTCTGAGCCCTTGTACAAATCGTCTATCTTGGGAGGTTTTTTTTCCCCTTCATAGAGTGGGAAGCAGATGGTTAAAATGTCTGGATAGAGACAAAAACCCAGGTCCACAACAGGAGTCTGTTGCTTCAAATAGGCACCCTCAGTAGATCTTCAAAATGGGCAATTTCCTTTTCCAAGAGCTGGCATAATTGCCCCCGCTTGCCTTAAGTGAAGGTGAGCTGGCACAACCAGACAGATCCCAGCAGCCCCAGATGCACCAAGCTACCTCAGCAGGTATGTTCATGCCTGCAGAGACGTATTAGTAGTTAGACCTCTGAACTCCATTGATCAACCATTTCAGTCTCATACGCTTAAGATTACTGTACCCAAACAAGCTCAATCTCTTGTTCTTTGAACTAGTTCAACCAAATCTATGATCCAATGAAAAGAAGAAAGTTGTGGTGAAAATGTTCATAGCAGGCGGATAAGGAAGCCACCCGCGACTCTGTCCCAAACGATGAAGCTTTTGCCCAAAGCCTAAACTTTGGGATTCCTCTGACCACAATAGTGGAATTGACTTTGCACTAAATACTGAAGCTAAGACTGTATTAGGGCCTTTCCCTAAGCACATGGAAAAATTTACTCTGTCAAAGAAAAAAGTTTTGCCTTCTTAGGGATGAATTCTGTAGTTTTACATGGACTTTCAATATTGTTGTGTAATCCTGCTAAAAGATGGAAACTGCAAGCCTGGAATGAGCCAAGGATTAATTCTTGTGGAGAAAACATACATAAAAATGTATGGTGCAAATTCCATATTATTTATTCATTCATTCATTCAATCAATCAGTCAATCAACCAATTTCTATAGCTACCAAACTCATCCATTAGACCTAATACACGTCTGATTTGGTTTGTCCTTGCTGTGATGTGTGTGTGTCCAGAGGAACCCCAAAGGATTTGTTCTTTGCACTAAAGGGGGCCTGGCATGTGATTCACCATCTGTCCATCCATCCTTTCCCCCTCCATCCACCCTCTAGGACAGTGATGGCTAACCTTTTTGCCATCACATGCCAAAAGCAGGGGGAGTGCAGGGGGGTTGTGTGCGAGTGTGCCCACACCCATAATTCTATGCACCCCGCCCCTGTGCATATGTGTGTGACACACACACACACTTCCCTTGCTTTAGGCATGTGATGTCACGGGGGGGGCTGGTAGGCCTGTTTTTTCACCCTCCCCAGGCTCCAGAGCCTTTCTAGGAGCCTGGAGAGGGCGAAAATGGCCTTCTCCATCTCCCTGGAGGCCCTCCGGAGGCCGGAAATAGCCTGTTTGCCGACTTCCAGTGGGCCCGGAAGGCCTGAAAATCAGCTGGCCAGTACGCACATGTGTGCCAGAGCTGAGCTCGCATGCCCATTGATATGGCTCTGCGTGCCACCTGTGGCACACGTGCCATAGGTTCGCCATCACGGCTCTAGGATGGAAGGTGGGAATGATATCCAGAAGTTTTGAAGGGAAGAAACAAATGGAGCTGAACTTTTTAGCTATTTGACGTGGCTCATTCTGCCTTTTACACTTATAATAGGCACATTTGTCCATTAAATCTCACATTGGATTTGGTTTAAGCGCTTAGCATTTATTGGCATCTCATGGCAAACTTAATAAATG